ATTTGTCATTTATTGCTCTATGATATTCAATGATATCAAATCAATCAACACAGTTAATACTAGTTGTTTTCAATAATGAAATATTCGGGAAAACATATTCATAACAAATTTTTGCATTTTTTTTTTTGCATCTTCAAATGAATTCATAAAAAATAATAACAAATATAAATTGTGGAAGTAGATTTTGAAAGAAGAAAAAAATGATTAAAACTAGCTTTAGGCGAGTAAAACATTCATGAAAATAGAAATATTTCCTTGGAATCTGTGGCCACTGAATAATTTTGAATAAATACAAAGCGAAATGCATGTCATTATGTCATTTCAACACTCTTTGAAAACAAAAAATTTTCTTTTTTTTTTCTACGAAAATACTAAAAAAAATAGCAAATTCCTAGTATATTCATCAAAAAAAAAACATAGTATTTGAAGACTTTACAATCCAGATTTATGGCAAAACGGAAAAAAAGACTGGATGGGACCATAATTTTCAAAGGTAAATATGTCACAGAAAAAAAAAAAGTTACAGATTAATATTCAAATGATATGGTTACTTTGTATATTCTACGCATATGAAAAGCTTTTAAGTTTGGAAGAAGAAAAAAAACTTTCAGAGATAAAAGGAAAGGACAGGAAATTAACATACATGCAACTAAATAGCTTCATTTGTTATATTTACTTTGTCGCTTATTCTCATAACATGTTCGCTTAATTCCGAAAACTTGAAATATCTGACTTTGATGCATTCGGAAACTAGAATAACTTAGTTTAGTTATAATGTAATCAAGACTTGATAATTACGCTAGAGAGTTGTAGAAAAGCAAAAGTGAATTTTAAGACCAAGTGGAATTGAAAATGATAGTATCTTTTAGAAGAGAATACAATGACGATATGTTAATAATGATGGTCATTATTTGGATAATCCCCAAGTCATCAAAATATTGATCCAGTTTCTTTCACTTCTCTTTTTCTATCATTATTTATTTTTTCGTTCAGAAATTTTGAATTTTATTTTTTTTACACTTCTTTTGAAAATCCCATGGAAAAGAAAAATGATGCAATATAACATATGTCAAATTAAAGTTTAATTAATCGGAAATAAGCATTGATCACAGTTAGTCATCTCCTTGGCACTTCTATTCCTTGTTTCGAATAAAACTGTTAGTTTAAAAGGGTTACCAAATAACCCTCAATACTATTTGCACGTCCATAATCGTAGTATAATGTTACGGAGAAAAAAGAATCATATATATTCTATTCCTTCAAGTGGGTTTTTTTTTTTGTTTTTTGTTTTTTTTTTTGTTTGTCTTTTTCTTACTTTTAAAATCATAGAAGGAAATTACCAGTATGTCTCACCTGTCCGTAGATATATTTGTCTCTAAATGAGTAATCAAATTTTTGATTATTTGGAACCTTTCAGTTTCTTGGTTGGATTGTTACGAAAAAGCAGGTTATTTCGTTGTGTCATTATCAGGAATTGTGATACTTCGAATGTATTAATATCATCAAGTCATAAAAAAATTAGCATCAAATCAGGTAAGGAAAATAATAATAATAAAGCAATGAAACAGAAGGACGGCTGGTTGAATTGCTTGAGTGGCCTTTGCAGAGATGAAAATTTGGAAAACAGCACTCAGTGGATTTGCAGCAAATTTATATATCAAAATGACAGTTTATTATTTATTGCCAATAAGTGATAATTATTGATATTGAAAATCATCTCTAAAACTTGAATCTAAACTTTAGTTTATGATCAGTTATAACTAAATTTTAATCTCATTTCTGCAAAAAAAAATGTATTGGAAATTGTGAACAAGCCGATGTCTCTCATATTATTTGTAACAGAAATAACTGAAACACACTACTATACCATAAATGGTTCGGGCTGAAAAGTAAATAATATGAAATTTATTGAAAAAAAAAGCGATATCATTGGAATTATGAAGCATATAAAAAATTAGTATATAAAGAATACAAAGAATAAAGAATATAAAGAATATAAGAAGTATATAAAGAATACAAAGAATAAAGAATATAAAGAATATAAGAAGTATATAAAGAATTAATACATTATTTTTTCATATATTTTCGAGCAAAAATTCACCGTCTCCGCATCATACTTTCGCATTATGCTCGAACCGCAAAAAGTTCTGTGAGTGAGCAACAACAAACAGCATACATTATAAGTTAATAAAATCGAGAGGTAAATTATCATGCATTATCATCAAGTCACCAAATTTCAGGAATACTTTTTTTGCTGCATCCGAAGTAAGTATCTATAAAATATCTTGTTTGTAAACAGGGAAAACAAATTTTCTTAAAGTAAATAAAAGGTTGAAACAGCAGCAAATAAGTAATATCGTTTTTTCTGGAATATGTCGCTATAGGAAGAGAAAGAAGCAGAATTCTCTATGTCCTTAGCATCGATTTTATGCTTCCTTGCATCAGCTTATCCTGCAAAACAAAAACAAAAAAGGAGAAGAAACTGACGACAAAGGCTGAAAACTGAAAGCATTATTACTTAACAAAAAAAAACTAGGGGCAAAAGGAATGCAGTAGAGAAGAGTTAAGTAAAATTTGAGAAAGTACACTGCATTTCCTAGCTGTACATGGGAAATTGATGTAAAGTTGAATATTACGGCAAGATTATTAAGTAATAATCTGTTTCGATGTTTTATCTCCAAAAGCATAATCAGCGAACATATTGACTACAAAACTGATGTTGAAAGACCTCATCGTGGGCTCTTTTCAGGAGAATGATTAGTTTTACCAGCAAGCTGCTCTACGCCAACAAATGACATGGTGTATCGGAGATCTGAACATTCTGATCTGTCGTTGAAAAAGGAGAAAGTATATATGATTCGAAAAGCGTTTTTTGGGATTACGCATCACTACGAAATTTTGGTAATCCGTAGAATATTCTGTTAAAATGGGATTATTGAATAATTGAGATACGATGACACAAAGTAAACAAAATGTTTGAAATAGGACTGATGCAGTCTATTTCAAATCGTTAATTTGAACACAGTAAATATATCGTCCAAAAAAGTTTACTTAAAATTTCAAACAGTAATAAACAAAAAAGAAAACAAGTGACCAAATGCAATCCATAATTTGTCCTTGTATCTCACTTCATTTCGGAATACGAGATTTCCAGGGGGTGAAAGATTGGTCGGAGATTATTTGGAAAAAAAAAACAAAAAAAAAAAAGGAAAAGTAACAGTGGGAAACAAACTGTTATTTTGAGGTTAAATAGTATATGAGTGTATAAAGTACTTATCAGAAGTGAAATCATTAGAAAAGTCTCCCTTACTTCATCTTATCACCCGGATTTGTCCTATTTAGGAGAGTAGTGAAGTATTACAGACTATTACAACGCCAGCTTAAAGTGCATTTCTGTTCAGTAATGACAATCGTAGTTGGTGTCATTTCCTCGAGTGATATATGAGACGAACATTTTTTGCTAGGAGAGTACCTGTAAAGTTCGTAACTCTGTGCAGAGAACCTCAAATATACTTCAGAATCATTTTTGTGAGGCTGGGTATGATGACAATGGAAATCGTCCCAAGAACTATCAACAAATCAAAAGTGGGCAAAACTGTAAGTACGAATCCTATCCTCACGGTCTATTTATTTCTTCACCCTTCGGGAAGGGAATCCAGTTCTCACCTCGCACCAACAAAGTCGGTATCGTCATCGAATGGAGAAGAAATTATGGAACAGAATGCAGCTGTATGCCCGGAACCACGGAATACGAGATGACGACTCGGCCTTATTGTTTACAATTGCGATATAGGCGTTTTCATGAATTTCTGACGACGTGTTAAGGTCGTTGTCTAATACCACTTGTCATCCCGTTTTTTGTCTTTCCGGTAATGATAAGGTGCAACGGTTTTGCTTCTGAAGTAGACTTCTAGGATGGATGAAGCGAAGAAGTGAGATTGGGAGCATGTTGGGAATACTAGTTTTGCATGTCCTTATTCTTTTTCCGGCAAGAAGTTTAGATAAACATAGCTGTGCATATTCATTTTTTTATTACTTACAGTTTCGGTTTACAGCGCCCTTGTTGGTGGTTCGCAGTATAATAATGTATATATGAGATGGGTGCTGCCTTATTGGCTGCGATGTTTCTTCATGCATCTACAGTAATCTACTCTAGTGTACACATCGAACGGTTTGTCTTTTACAATGTTTTTTACTTTCGCTGTTATTGTTAGCGATTACTTTGGCAAGCAAAGTTTTGCATATCTTTACTTTTCTACTATTTTTGTCACTTTTTGTTGGTTCTATTTCTTTTTCTGGCATTAAATCAATATTTTGAATCATGGTCCGTCCTCTCAATCACTATGTGAATTGCATAGAAGGTCATTCTTTAAACTCTATTCATGATTATATTCCAAAATATGGTTATGATTGTGTTTCAGAATCGGGTCTGCATCTGTATCAAAAAACTGCGATAACAAACCGTGCTATCAAGGTAAATGTGAAAATGAAAAGTGCCGTTGTTTCGCTGGTTGGGGTGGCGTTCATTGTGATCGATGTCATGGACGAAACTTGTAATCTAATTTTGTATATTACCTGTCTTTTAATTTTGTTATCGTTAAAGAAGTTACGAAGGGGAATTTGAGTTTGTAAAATCATATTTGTTTAAGGTTGATGGACGAAAGTGAATTACTGACGGATGGTCCACGCAATTATAGTTCGTCTTCGCGATGCATGTGGATCATTAGGGATGAGAAAAAACGAGGCGCGTTGTTGTTAAGGATTGATTCGCTAGTTACCGAATGTAGCTGGGACCATCTGTATATATATGATGGAACAGGAACTAGAAGCCATCAGCTAGCCGCGTTCAGGTACGTTATGAATCGACCTCATCATATTAGAACATTATGAGCTTAGGTCGGTTATGCAAATATTAATTCATAATAGAAGCAGTTATAAATTCATTTCGTTGAAACTCTGGATGCTTTCGTGAGAACATTTTGTTGTTAAAATGCTTCTAAGTTTGTAAAAATAATTTTCTCACTGATGCACTTCCTCCTTGTTTATTCACATGTGAAACGCCTCAGATAACAGTGATTTGTTCTGTTATCCAAAACTACATGTTTCAGTGGTGTTATTTCTGGTAGAGAAGTGAGTATCAAATCTGGCAAGGCGCTTGTTTATTTCTTCAGTGATTTGGCATTCAACATGTCTGGTTTCAACATTACTTTTGCTTATGGCAAATGTCCGAGTAATTGCACATCAAACGGAAAATGTACTGAAGGCATTTGTGAGTGTTATGAAGGATATACGGGAGTGCAGTGTGATACGCTGATTTGCACTGATAAAGACAGGAATAAAACATCTAAAGCATGTGGTATGGCAGGTATTTGCGATAGTGATAACCGGTGCAGCTGTAATATGCATTTTCATGGTATTGTTTAGTTAATATAGAGTTAGAGAATTTATTCAAGTTCTGTGAGATACTTTCAATTCTCATGTTTTGATATACGCGTAAAATTATTTGACGAAATGAATAGAGAAAAGAGAGAATTTTTCTTGAAATTGCCAAATGTGGCTACTAGTTTGTCGATACTGCCATCTCGTATGCTTGGTAAATCTCAAGAGTCGAATATTGTCATACTTGAGGATTAATTTCTTTGAATAATAAATTAAAAATGAAATGTAATATGCTGATGAACGATTTAGTTCAGTTGTTGGACTTATATTAAGACTAAGGAGGGATTGTTTGGGAGTAACTGTCCGTACATGTAATTTTATCCGTCATAAAACCAATGTAGTTCTTCACAGGAGATCGTTGTCAGGCTTTGACAACACAATCGGTTTTTGAAACTGTTTCAACAAGTGGAGATTTTGGAGCTCGTGCATCGCACACAGCGATACTCGTAAACGATACGAAAATATGGGTAATTGGTGGAGCCCATTTTACTGGTGTCAATAATTCATTTGTTGCTGTATACGATATTGCAAATTCATCCTGGCATAAAATTCCAACAAAGAACACTCCTAAATCACGTTACGACCACACCGTCGTAAAATATAAGGTAAGTACTGGTTATGATTCATGTTAAAATTAACATCATAGTTATTCTTGGTCTGCTGCGAAGTACCATAAATACTTGAGGGAGTTGTTTTACAGGATTTAATTGAATTCCATTTCCCTGGTCGTCATTTGTTCATGTTTTTTATGTGATTTTATTTTTAGAGCACCATATATATGTTTGGTGGCGTAATTGATGAGCGTGTAGTGACTAATGAATTGTGGAGTTTGGATCTTGGAACTTTGGAGTGGACATTGGAAAATACTAATAATAATGCGTCAGATGCTATACCGGGTGCTGTTGCTGGCCATGCCGCACATTTGATTGGAGATGAAATGCTTGTGTTTTATGGTCATAGTCCATATTTTGGATATATGTACAGCATACAAAAATACAAAATTAGTGAGTATTTTATAATTGCCTTTACGAGTAAGCATTTAGCTTTTCCAGTCTTCTATTTTTCTCTCCCTCCCCTCTTTGTGAATTCAACAACCGAGCTTTTAGATATAAGTTTTTCCGTTATATTCTGCGAAATTCACAATTACTTTAACCATAATGTACATCGTTGAGAGCTGTTTATATATGTTATTATGCCAAGTCTTCAGAAAATTCATTGTGTATCTGTAATGCACAAATGTATTTGCGTCATGTACTTTCTCTACCCTAATCTTTTTTCTGCAGTTTCAGCTTCGACAAATGCATTGTTGAATTGTTATGATATTCAGCCAAAGGGAAATATTTCAGGTACCAAGCGATGGAGTATTGTTCCAGATCATGGTCCTCATGTGCAAGGAAGATTTGGTCATTCTCTCGTTGCCTATGTTCATGAGAAAAAGGAAGTCATCTTGATCTATGGTGGTTATTTGTTGCCTTATGAAGGCTTCTTGTCACGAGTTAGCAGTACCTTGATCGAATATGTTTGTGATAGTCGAGAATGGTAATTTACCGATGTTTTTTATATGGCGGCAAAAGTTTGGCACAGTGGCAGTAGCAAGAAGATTGATTTTTAATATTTCTTTATAGTGACCAGAAAATAAGCAGATGAACTTTGAATTTACGGAATCATTAAAATATTGAGATATCATACCTGCAAATATTAGCAACGGAAGCAGTACTAAACATTGGTCTTCTGTTTACTAATAATTCATAATAATTTTTTGTAGATTCTAATACCTTATCATAGCTACGGACGGCAGTCGTAGAACAGTACCATAACGAGATTTGCAGAGTGGAAATTTTCAAGTAAACTTAGGTAATTATGCAGACTGGCTGGATGAATTCGACTGGCCTTAACTGTACGACCCTACGATCTCGAGATAGCTAGACTTGAAGCAGTTGTATTCTTAGTTGGCTGTCTTTATATTAGTGTCAGTGATAATATGACCCCATGTGGTTGTTAAATGTTAGAAATATTAAATTAATTTTCAATTTTTGATTTTATGCTTACCTTCGGTGCATTTGATGGAAAATTTTCCAGAAAATTTTTAACAACCTAACTTTGTGTGATTTGTAGCTCGCATCGAACTCTTTCTTCTGGACATACTCCAGTTTTTCGTCATTCCGCATCACTAATCAATGATTTAATGATTATTATCGGTGGAAATGTGCACAATGAGTCGTCATCACGCATTCAAGAATGCTATTCTGGTGATATTCAAGCATATGACATTGGTTTGTTTGTTTTTCCATTGTTTATTCCTTAAAATTGCTTTTGTCTAAATTCATGAAAATTCCTGGAAACGAGTTTGGAATGGTACTTGCTGCTTCTTATTTTTTAATAATTTTTCTTACCAAACACTCAGGTTGTATGTCTATTTTTCTGTGGGATTTCTACTTTGGATAGTTTTGCTGTCTATTAAAGACAATGAAGACTTTACAGGCTGTGATACTTGGTTTTCACTGTCAAACAATAATTTGTCATTTTTGCAACGTTATGGGCATTCATCAATGGTCACAAAACATAACATTTTTGTAATTGGTGGGTTCAATGGAGTAATGTTATCAGATGTTGTGAAATTCACGCCAGGTCAGCGCTTCAGTACATTGTTGTGGATTTGAGTTAAATAAAAGTTGTATCAAAATTGGAATCCCTCGAGTTGACTCGTCGTACTTCGTGGAAATAATGCTGTATAAAATCAAGAATAATCTTTGCAGCGGAATGTGGGGGCTTAAAACGACCAGACGATTGTCGTAACATGAGAGAAGGTGTACGTTGTATTTTCCATGCTGGGAAGTGTAAGCCTGTACAACGTGATATGTCATATACTCATTCATTTTTATCGTACGTGAAAAACGATGATCCGAAGGAGGAACAGAAATGTCCAATTAGTTGGAGGAAGTAAGTTTGTCACAATTATTCTTCTACGAGGTAAAGCTTGTTACTGGTTCATTTTTGCTTTCGTAAATGTTAGGTCGTTCTTCCATCGTACGATCAATTCAGCATTACCAAGATCCGGCCACTTGTTGATACCTGCGATTCCAGGCTGATCTTCCGTATGCTTATTGAATAACTTTATCACCACTCCGAATAATCATGCCTGGACGAGACTGCAGTGATTTCTTCAACTTGGATCTAGCTGATGAATGTAATGTCTTCTCAGCGTAATGTCTTCTCGACTTTGCTTGGACCTTCTGAAATATCTCTCCTGCCATATATTGGCTCCTCCAGTTGTTACATGCTGAAAAAGCGTCCAAATGGACGTTATGGGACTTCGTTTT